ACAAATCACTTTGCTTTCCAAGAATATTATTATGGTGACAGCTTTCAAAGTTTGTCTCTAAATACAACTGTTGTATTTGAGTTAGGAAAGTTGAAAGGCTGAAAGTGAGTACTGCCAGTAGGTGTAGGGAGGGAATCATCAGCCTCTTAATATTGTCTTTATCCCCCATTAGCAAAACACAACAATCGGGGAAGATAACTGTTTGCCAGGGGCTGTGATGTTGAAAATCTCCAAATTAGCCTACTTAAAAGTTTTCTGGCTGATTTAACACTGATTCTGGAGCTTTAATGGAAGATCAAACAACTAGGAGGGTATAAAATAGAACTGCTAGGACCTTTATGAAAGATTTTTATCTCCCCCAATTAAATGATTCAGAGAGCCTTGCACCTGCAAAGCTAGAGAAGATCTATTACAAAGGACAACAAAAAAATTGCAGTTTGTCTTAAATGAAAAAGTATTTGGCTAACACTGCTGAAGAAAAAGCCTTTTCATAATGATTTTTTAGTTAAAGTGAGTCTTTGCTGTATAATTGGGAAACAGCATAAATAATTCTTGTAATCGCTTGAAGGAAAGGTCGCACAGCAACTTCCATCTTTATTCCAATAACTGTGTGAGGTCTTGTGTACGTCCTTTAGGACAAACTAGCTCCATCTGCAATAGGCTACAATGACTAAAAGTACTCATGTTCAAATAATGTTTGTTGTATCTTGTATAGTTCAAATATTATTAATATGATCAAGAGTGAGCTACTTGCCAGAGTTGGTCTGTATTTACATTAAGAACAAAAGAATAGTTTCAATCAGTGACAAAAGATCAACTTGTAGCAGATATTAGAAGGCATCAAAATACATGTGCTTATGAGAACAAGATGGTTCATCATTCTTGTTTATTCTTCAACCATTTATAGACAAATGGGCACGGAAATCTTTGCCTCACAACACAGTTGTCAATTAGCAACAGTTCCTGAAAGCACCCAAATTCTTTCCTGTAGGAATTTCTAAGCTATCCCATATAATGCCCCCAATGTGGGGATTTTTACAGTATGAGAACATCTGTGAATTGGCCCCCAGACACATAAATAGTAGCCACTTTCATGTTGTTGTAGGAATGAAGGTGGCTTATACCACTGATAAGAAGCTCACCCGAGGCCGCCCAAACCCATCTATCAGGAACTATAGGGCACTTGAGGTTGCTAGGCCAAGGTGGTCCACTTAGCACTCTTCACTGAGTCAACCACCCTCAACCCTCCGCTACACCCAGGTGCATAGCAGGACTAGTACCAGGGATAGGCAATAATCACAGAAAACTGACCAACTTCAACTTTCATATTACAAATGATAAATAAATTATTCCTAATGTAAAATTATTACTTAATTTATTGATTGGGAGACAATGCTTCATACAGATGCCGAAAAAATGGAGTCAGATTAGGTCCATATCATTTGAAACAAAATTTCCTTTTCACATGAGTCCTCTGTGATAAGTCTATTTGTCCCACAAGGATGGCAAGTCAAGCTGCTGGGAGCCTGGTGGTTTCTTACATCCCTTCTCTCAAGCCCTTTATGACCCAGCAATACTTGGTGTATGGTCTCCAGCCAGGCACCAGGTGACCACATCCCATAATTCTTTCCCTGTCTTGACATGTCTGCTGATTGGTCACATTTTATTGCAGCACTACTAACGCCAAGTGTATTTTTTAAAAGGAGCAAGATTGGAGTGTACAGGGCAGTTGATAAGAACCAAGTGGGGGATCTAAAGTTTACACCCATCTGGTGACCTGTTCCACTACTTTATGTGACTACAACCTTGGTGATTTATAGACAACACCCTGATTCTTCCTGGGAACTACTGGGACTTTAGTCAATCATTAAGACATCAGCATTTTAGTTCTTTAAATCATAAATGACTAACATAAATAATACCTCAAAACAGTTTCCATCATTATAGCATCTAATATCTAAATGGATGGTGCTGAATCACAATGCACAAAGAAATATTGACTTTTGACAAGTGTGCCCAATAAGCATTATCTAAACCAAGATGCTATACAACAATATGCTGTGAATAGGAGCTGAAACTCAGCAGAAGCTGATGATGACCAAGATCCAGTGCTGATGTCAACATGCTGCAGGAGTGAACTTATCATGGAAGGAGTGGTCTTGTCCCCCCAGATGGCTGTGTAATCTGTATTGGTGAAAGCCTGGTGTGATATCAGCATGTGTTAACATCACTTATACAAGCTGGTGATGGGGGGTTGGGCAGATTGCAGCAGACATACACCAGATGAGCCAATGACAACACTGCTTATGTCCTGACAGCGTCTTACAAGCAGGTGATATGAGAAATATTTCACACATGTATCTCATAGATGTTATCTTGCTTGTTGTGGCAGAAGGTCGATCTCAGCGCAACAAGTCTTAGCAGTGTGAAGAGGCGAATAATTTTAATCACCTGTGTGGCGCAACTAACAAGGTGACGGAGATGATAGGCAGAGCTGTCAAGATGTTTTCACTGCTAGGTTACACTTCACTTGTCTTCAAACATTCTTATAAATCTCCCCAATTCTTTAAGACTAGTATACACCAGCAAAGTTCATAAAACAAGAAAATTCAGTTTGGATAGAGTTTCAAGTGAACGTTTACAATTTCATTGAACTAGTTTCTGAAATTGTTTTGGATAACCAAAATATTTGTTCACATGTCTGAACCAATATTTTTAACAATGATTGGAATTTATTTACCAAAACTCTCATGCAATTGCTTTGCTCCAACTGGAAGGACAAATATTTCACAAGCATTGCATCTCCTCAATTCACACTCTCCCAAGATCAAACTACTCACAATTAGGCTTTCAGCGTAAAATGTCAAGAAAAAAAGAAAATGTTGTTTCCTGGGATGAGAGTTGTCTAAATAATCCTACTCGTCTTGGTCTAAAATAGGTATCTTTGTCAACAAGACCTGTGCAGCATTTGACAGAGGGTTAGGAATGCAATAGGAACATCATTCCACATATTCCTTCACATAGCAATTCCTCTAATCCACCAGTTAGTGCTGTTCAGTAACAAAACAAATCCCAAGCAAGATTATTATGAAAGACAATATTGTAATAGTCTGTCTAGACTTGTAAAATATCAAGAAGCAGCTGTCAAAAGTTGCTCCAATTCCTGTTCTTTTCTAATCAGAAGGCTGATGTGAATTCATCAGTAAGTGGTTGTGTAGGAATGTTGTGGAGATTACAGGAAACCCCCTCTTGTAGCCAGCTGCCTCTAATCACAACACAAGTGGCAAACTAGCTGGCATTCACAATAGCTGGACAGGCCTACACTGGAGAAACTGCACATGAAGCACCTTCAGGATAGTTCTGTATCTGTTGTGCCTATTGACTGTTACTATCTAGCAGTCTCTCCTGAACTCAACATAAGCCCCTACACCGCTGTCTACCCAATATCTAAAGGAATCCAGGACCTTACCCCATTTTTCTTTTCATCAGAATTCAGCACTGACCTCCCTACTCAACCCATTTTTCTTTTCACCAGAATTCAGCACTGACCTCCCTACTCACCCCATCCTTCTTTTCACCAGAATTCAGCACTGACCTCCCTACTCACCCCATCCTTCTTTTCACCAGAATTAAGCACTGACCTCCCTACTCACCCCATCCTTCTTTTCACCAGAATTCAGCACTGAGCTCCCTACTCACCCCATCCTTCTTTTCACCAGAATTCAGCACTGGGCTCCCTACTCACCCCATCCTTCTTTTCACCAGAATTCAGCACTGAGCTCCCTACTCACCCCATCCTTCTTTTCACCAGAATTCAGCACTGGGCTCCCTACTCACCCCATCCTTCTTTTCACCAGATTTCAGCACTGAGTTCCCTACTCACCATCCTTCTTTTCACCAGAATTCAGCATTGACCTAAAGCACTCTTTTCCCTCTACCGAGAAGGCTCCCAAGCTCACCCAATCTTCCTTCTCACCTGAACTCAGCATTAAGCTTCTTACACCACACTTCACCCTATGGTTACACCCCCTGTTTAAAACCCACTCTTCATCATGAACACAGCTCTACTACATCCTGCTTTCCTCAATGACACAAGTCCCATACATCAATTGGCCACCCCTACCCCTGCCATTCTCACCCTAACACATATCTCCATCAGGGCCCAATCTTGCCGGTGTCTAGCAGAGCTGCCATGCCTCATTAACCCTCTCTCAGGCAGCTGGACACATGCTCTAGCCATTAAACTCCCAGTATTTACATATGGGCCATTTAGTCCCTGTCCGTATTATTAGGGACCAGCATTAACTTTGCTAATTATGTCCTTAAATGGCTTTCCACGGAGCACAAGAACAATATGGGCCAGGAGTCTATTGAGAAAAGCAGCAGATTTAGAATAGCCTTCATTTGGCCTGTAATAAATTTTATTTCCCCTCACGCAGAGTGATGAATTCTCATGTACTAATGTTGTTTGGCGGGCGGGAAATCTGGTGAGTGCCACATACAGCTTCATAGTCAGGCAACCTGCACATTAGTACACCTCCAACCGACACTTACTGTTATTTACACTGTTTATTTCATTTTCTTACAGCCTTTAACAGCCTCAAATCTAATTTCATGACTGCTGATCACCAATACATAGGGGCAGACTGATAATTTGAAGAACAGATATAACAGGACCTGTAATAAATCTGCACAAATGAGCATACTAATAGCCCTGGCAAGCTTGCATCAAAAGGATCTGCTAGTTTACTGAATATAGTGCAACCCCTATGTAAACACCAGGTAATACATCTTTCCTCTAACAACAACACACAATAGTGGTGGAAAAACAAATGGCAAACTCCTAACTTTAAATTCACCACCTCTCAAACCAGCCATTTCCCTGAATGAATTGATTGGCATAATTATTATCAATGTACAAACTGATTATCTACTGCTGCCAACAAGCCATGAACGAGCTGCAAACTGATTAAGATGGGTAGCAAAAGTGTTGGACTTACCTTGCCATATCTCTGTGCATAAGACCCAGTTAGCAGCGAGTGAAAGATAATTATTGTTTCGTCTAAATCCCATACAAAAACTCTCTCTAAGTCCGACTCTGGCCCCGGAGAGGGCTGAGTTCGCCGCCCACGGTTTCTCGGTACTCTCTTGCCTGTAACAACACCAACACCATAGCAACATTCAGTACAAATACAAGGATCACATCACAGTTCATCTTGTCTAAAAAAACAACAATAATAATAATAATTACTTGATTGTTAATTTAATTTGGAAGGATTAAAATCAATGTTTCAGCAACATTCAAGGATAAGTAAACAGGGCCATTGCCCTTGAACATCAGTAAAGAACTGTTCATTGGAAACAGGAAGCATTACAAGTCAATAAACACAATATGGCAGCATGGTAGATTAATATAACAAACAACCATGCTGTATAGACAAGGGGTGATTAGTCTGTTATAACACACCCTTTACAATGAGTAACTTTTCACAATCATTTACTTGTTTCACTATGAGGAAGAAAGGTGATTGTCTTACCTGTGCTACCATTCTCTTGTTTCAAAGGTGGGGATGGACTTGTTATGTTATATTGACTCTCTGCTGAAAAAGACATATATCACATGACTTCATGTTCTAGACATCACAGGTTTCTGTAACCTACCAAATTCAAGTAATTAATCTAAAAAGTATGTTAGGTTTGAAGACAAAACATAAGACTTTAATATTTGTATGAGAACGTCTTGAGTTCGAACAACTTTCAAAGTCTATCTAAATGATATCATTTCTAATGTTTCCAGAAATGAAAGGACTGCTCCTAATACCTTCAACCATGATATAATCATAAGTGCACTGAACTTATTAACATGCTGCACTGGGTCTTGTGCTTTTGATGAAATCCTAACAAATACTACATGTAAATTGTTATTTCTTTTCTTGCACTGGAAGCTGAATTTAAAAGGGCCATGATTCATACATCATTACAATTCTTCTTCTCTGAAAACTACAGCCGACACTTGAACAGTGGAGCCCTGAATAGGATTTATCAGTCAGTAGGTATGTTCAGGCACTTCATGATCTTTAAGGCTAACTTCACACCACCATTTAGTTATGTTTGCAGGTTATGACCTGAAAGGAATCCTTGATAGAATACAAACCCACAAGCTTTCCAGGAAAGGAAACACTTTGCTATGATTCTTTATAGATGACATTTTAGAATAAACAAATCATCGACATGAAGCCAACCATGTGTGTCGGAGATTCATCCATCAACTTAGAGATTTTAAGACCTTTCAAAACCTACATTTACAACCCAGGCAAAATAAAAGCATTTATTTGAGGTAGACAATATGCAACAGGACAAATTACAGGCCTTGTTGGGAATAAATCAGCCTGTAGCGCATCCCCCTGTGACAGACCTAGCGGGCTCTTCACTGGTGGCAGGGGTGAAAGAGAATTTACGAGGGAAGGGTCAGATGTGGTTCCTTCTCAGCTAGCAAGGACAATGGCCACCAAGCGATTGTCCCAATATAGGGAGTGCTATTGTAATGGTCGGCAGTATTAATCTGCTGGCGAGATCTTCTTGTCATACTCCACATCAAAATGGACAGCATTAAAACTAGCCACGGAAAACTAAGGACAAATCTGTCACACCTGACTGGGCACAAAATCCACCTTGATCATAATTTCAAATCCTTATGATCCTCTTGTGATTGGTTCTGATAAGGAGGTATAAGCATGTCACATAGATGTGTTTTCTTGAAAAAATATGTTGTTGAAATCACCATGAGACTGCAGAATTTCATCAGTTACAGCTGCCACACTGAGATTGGACTGAACATGAATATTTATACAATCCATTCAAAATCTCACACAGCTAACTTCCCATGTAACAGGCTGACAGAATATACAAAAGGAAAGGTCCGGGACTTCAGCTGATTCAATCCTATCTCTTTTCATATTAAACAACCATACAACCTCCTAAATAGTTTTGCCTTCGTAATTAAAGTTCCAGATAGGCTATGATGGAAGTACTAGGTAGGGGAAGATCTACCAATACAGTGCCGATATCTGTTCAGTAAGACACAGTGAACTAGCTTGCCCAGTAAGTGGGACTGGAGACTAATGAAAGTGGTGGGGAGACACACCTGCTTCATGCACACTAGGTGTGAGTTGTTGGTCACTGTGTTCACTAGACAACTGGCGTAAACTGTCTATTTGGTGCCCATGCAGATGATACAGTCCATTGGCACACTTTGTTGAGACTAGAGAACAAACAGCATTGTTATCACAATATATTCACCAGTATACCTTTGAAATAGGGCTTGAAAAAAACCAGAACTTAGAGACATAAAATTCAAATTGTTACCTAAGCTATAAAATGTACAAAGAAAAATACAAGGAATTTATGAAAAAACATTTTGGGGCATTTAGAAAGGAAGGCAAACTTTGAAGTGAAATATATTTGCTAAAAAATTAAAACTTTAAGTGATTGAAAATGGAATCTTTCTCATCTTCCAATCAAACTATTAGATAAAAATAATAAATATCAGAAGCCACTGCAAAGGTATGATATGGCAATGCATTATAGAATACTTCAAGAAAAAAAAGGATTCTGAGATCTTCTATCATCTACACTGAGCATCAGCTAAATGAACTTCAGAATGAAAACATTATAACAAAACAAATGTCAAATGACAGTCAAGTTTGTTTGGTCTGAAGTACTTGTTTAATGTAGGCATTACAAAATGTCAAATCAGTTCATCATCATTCAGTCATCATGAATTGGGCCATTTTGTTAACAGATTCCCATAAACAGGCATTTATCAATTGAATTGTAAGACAGAGGACATGGATACAATGAAATGTCAAAACAATTGGCCATCCATTGGAGTGCATCATGCTGTTATAGTCGGAGGAGCTGATCACCTCTTCCAGGGTGGGACAAAGAAACAAACTGCACCAGTACACATGAAGGAGGAGAACGCAGTACCTCAAGTGAGTGGTTTGCATACTATAAAGACACAGCAGCACTCTGGCAGCTGGACAGACAGAACATAGCAAGAGCATACTACTACATGACAACTAGGCCAGGATTCAAGACTAGCACACAGGGTGGGGGCGGCTACAAATGATCACTGCCTCATGCCAAGCAAATCCTACAGGCAATAAATGAAAACACAACATAAAGAAAAGTAATATTCCTACTGACATCCCGATAACATCAGCTATCATTTGGATAAAATAACTAAAATAACTGAGACATAATTGCTCAGATGATGCCTATATATGTAAATACAGATTGCAGTGTGAAAACCATCACATTGATAATGGAAATACATATTCATGAGAAAACTATATTTCCTGAAGAAATGAAGGAGGCTAGGAACAACAGACATGGTTGGCTTATGATGTACATAAGGGCTAGGCAATACCTCATTACATATTCAGTGATGCAACATGCGATAATGTACCATATGGGGGCTGAATCTTAAGCAACTTACTGTTCAAACATATATAAAAAAAGCGTGTTTACTCAATCATTAAACATGAAATATCTCATTTATTTCCTCTCAGCTTTCATGCTTAGATACTGCAGCAAAAGCCTAATTCTGAAAAGTAAATTTTGTCCAATATTGCTGTGTGACTATAATCATGAGGTGCAAGTCACGAGTGCATGTGAAGATATATATGCATGCAGAGGCTTCTAAACTACAAGCAGAGTCCTCACAATCAAACAGCAACGACTGAAACAGGTGGACCATCTTTGCTGCACCAACACTGTCCAATACACTTAGTACAAAAATGACAATTGAAGTATTAGACATGTAACTGGAAATGATCAGATACGTTTTTTCAATCATGCAAAACAATTACACGAATGTAAAAGCCTGATTTTGAGTGGTGCAATCAAAGAAGGTCCACAGACATCAGTACTGGGTGTACCCACCTGTGGTGGTGGTATTGGGGACATCAATGAGTTGATATGTCTGTGTAGAAGGCACTGTGGAGGCAGTGGACACTGACGTTGTGGGGATGTTGTAGGGGTACTGGGGATAGAAGCCTGTACTTGTTGTGCCATAACCAGAATAGTACCCATCTATGGCCTGCAAACACAACACAGCAATTGTACAGCACTCACCAGTGTACATATCTTGAATAATGGTAGTAACATTTATATTAATGTGTGTGTATGTGTGTGTATGTGTATGTATATGTTAAACAACAGTTGGCATCAACATTATAGATAGAGCTACGGGTGGAGTAGGAATTCACTCAATATGACATCAAACTGAAAATCAATCTATGAGAGATGATTAATATTTTACATAATTTCTTTTGTCAAAGTTTAAGAGATATTTCTATTTTGTGTACAGAATTTATTGAAGTGAAAAGTAATAATTAGCAACATAGAGCATTCAAAACAGTATATGACTTCCCCAATGGTCGATCAGTGGACAATGGAATAGCTACTGGTTAATCAGGTCTGTATACATGATGGGAACACAATATTATTCAACACAGCAAATCCTAATTTCAAATATTGCTGGACAAGATCGTGATAAAAAACAGTTCACTGATAAATTAGTAACTAAATATTGACATATTTGATGTTATTTCTAGGACAAATTTCACATTTCCTTTCAACACACATACATCGGACAAATAGTAATTCTGTGGAAGAGCCTACAATAATGAAATATTGATGTGGTGATTAAAGGTTGAAAGTGATAATTTCTGTCTAATGAGTGTATAAAAATAAAATGCATCTGGTGCCAGCTCTGGCAGCTTAATACTGTGAAATCCATGGGCCAGAAATAGTCCCCCATCTGTTACCTGCCTGATCCTATTCATAATTCCAGCTGACTCCTTCATCACATTCACTTGCCTGTCAACTACCAAACCAACAACTAGGTAATGGCGGACTTTCATACCAAAAATATGTGGCAAAAGTCAAGTGTCTCTAATAATTGACCTCAGCCGGCAAATCCAAGTGCCTAATTTTCCCAATCAGCGTCTGTTTCACTTGTAATCAATAAGCCATACATCACTGAGGACCAGAATTCGATGACATTGTCTCAGACATGGACAAAATTAACAATCCGATATTTTCTGAAGCGAAATCTTACTCAATATCTGTCTAAAATGCTACCGTGTCTGGGAATAACAGGATTCAGATTGCACTACTACCGTTGTGTGTCACAAACTGTATCACATGTACACCCTGTACTACAGGTACAACAAAATAACATTAGTCCATCCATGGACAGCCCTGTTCAGCACATGTAATCACCTGTCTACGCATATACCGTCCTGAGTTGTACAATTAACACACAGACCTGGTCAAATCTAAGTGTTCCTCCTTACTACCTGACCTGTGATTACTATGTGCCATACTCTCACCCCCTACAGACATAAGGACAACACTGCAGTAGAGTTGGTGATTATCACCACACAGACACAACCAGGCAAGTCGGATCAACCTGGCATTTAGTTCTTCTGTCCTTATTAATTTCTATGAGATATCAATTACGCTGAAGTATTATCAATATATATTGATCAATGGAAATATTCACACAAACGAGCACTGATCAAGTAAACTACTGCAAAGGCCACAAGTTCACTAGTGGTTATTGGTGACAATTAGAACAAAAAAGCTAAACTGTCATTGGCCAATTTGACAGAGCCAAAATTAATTTACTTCAAATCAGCATCCTACTGGAAATTGTCATTTATTGTTACAGAATATTATCAAAACAAACTGGGCAGAAAGCCTTGAAGTTATGACACACAAATTACAAATTCTTTTGTTACACCTAAATGATGGCAAAACCAATCAGCATAGAAAACAAACAGAACAATGGGGAGTGTGCCATATCATTGTGATGTGAATGAAGGCTGGTTTTGTCTTCTTGTTTGAATTCAGGCCTTGTCTGCCTTACAAGGTGTTCTCATTGATTATAACAGTGACAGGTACGTGGATTGTCCATCGATTTCATTCTGCCTGCCTCCCCATAAACAAAAGGTAAGTTCACGGCTGGTGGAAACAAGTGTGCTGCAGGGTAACATGATACCGAAAAAAAGGAAAAGAGGACATCCAAAATGGCGACAATTGTAGATTTATAGTGCCACAAGCTGTCTACATGGCACCTTGGACAATAGTGGGAAAAATTACTGCTTAGCTGTTTCAGACAAATGCTCAATCTAAAATCATTTCCGAGTTGATGAATAGTGCTTGTCATTTAGGCCTTTCCTGTTTGGAGGAAGATCTGAAGGTCCCCTATACCGCACATAGTTAGGGGAGGTCCAAGAAGGTTAGGAGAATGAGCTATAGCATGACTAACATGGGCTGAATGTTTATCTGAGAACTACAAGATATGCATCAATTCCCTCCTCTGGCGTTATTAATGACGAGAGCCTAGCAATAAATACACAACAATTTAGCATGTATTACTACAAAAGGAGTGAATATCTCACATAATGGTTATTTGACCTGGCATTTGATAGAGGAAGAATGACTCTTTCAGTCATCAGCTAGGCCAGCTACTGATTCATTCGAAATTCAAATACATAATTGCTGATAGAAATGTGTAGATAAAAAAATCATGCAACCATGACAAATACTTTGTTTCAGACATACCCAAGTGAATACTGATAATCAATGTTCCAAAAGTTTCAAGGCACAAAATATATCTCAACCAGAAATAACATCCTGTGTGTTAATTATCATCATGCACCTGTATAGGCCCATCACTGATGTGGCGTGGCCTACAGAGTCAGATAACTCTTCCAACTCACAAGGAATAGCAATCTTTTAAACAGTGACAATCCTCTCACTATTTTTAAAGATGTGATATATACAATGCAAAACTATGACCCAGTACCAGTCAATTATGTTTCTGCCCCAAACCGACTATTCTGACACCACCAGGGAACAAATGTTGGTGCTGTACTGCACTTATTTATGAAGGGGTCTTTGCCTGTTTTGTCCTTCCAAGCTTGACATTAAATCAGTTGCAGGGCTATGGATACTGTAAATGTAAAGCCATATTTGTAGGCACATTAATCAGACATTATGATGACAGCACACATATTCGAAATATGCTGTCATATTGCCATCACATAGGGAAGCTTAGAAATGTTCACAGATGACTATTGTAAAGAAACATGTCATATAATTCAGATGTACATATTGAAATAACATGGCAATGTTGGTTTTATTTGTGACTAAACTAAGTTTAACTTTCCCCAAACACACACATCCTTCATGTTGGTGCGGTGTATATACAGTTTGTCAATATGTTGTCATGGGAGATATAATGAAAGTAGAGCTATGTATCAAATTACAAGCTTAACTGTCACCTTGCATTTAAGATGGCCTGTATTTGCTCTCATTAATCTCAAACACAAACACCAAGCAGGTCACAGTACAGCAAATAGGGGGACTTAGTTTGTTTTGTTTGGTGTCTAATGCTGCACTCAGCCATATTCCAGCTATATGACAGCAGTCTGTAAATAATCAAGTCTGGACCAGACAATCCAGTGATTGATGTCATGACCATCGATCCACGCAATTGGTGTATGGTGACATGCATCAACCAAATCAGCAAGCCTGACCACCCGATCCTGCACAGTCGCCTCTTACAGCAAGCATGGGTTGCTGAAGACCTATTCTAACCCAGATCTTCCTGGGGCTAGGACAACAGGAGGATATCACGATATCACATCATGTGTGCGACCATATACACAGGAAGATATCAAGATATCACATCATCTGTGTGACCATATACACAGGATGATATCGCGATATCACATCATCTGTGTGACCACATACACAGGATGATATCACGATATCACATCATCTGTGCAACCATATACACAGGAGGGTATCGAGATATCACATCGAGTGTTTTAACATAAACACAGGACAATACCTATTTTTCTCTCTCAACATTTTGCCATAACATAGGGTAGTGGGTGTGATATTATATGTATCCTAATACATGGGTCAAATCATAATGTGTATGATGATACATACTAGTAGTGATAAGGTGACAATTTCATAAATAAATTCAACTTTGTATGAGTTTTTGAAGGTGCCAAAATGTCATATATGAAAAACAATGCTGTTTTAAAAACCTTTTTCCTAGTTGGTAGGCCTGAAACATCAATATCTTACATAACTATGGCTCTGCGTATCGCAATGTTTGCCATGGCATCGATACAGCAGGATATCACATATTCAACTTGTACATGTATGTATTGTCACTGGACACTAGGAACCGATACACCATTAATGAACTATACAGGAGGTTATCATGCCACGTTGTCTATATCTGTTTGTCTGCACTTACAGATGTATGCGAACAAATCACCATGGCTATGTTAACATACAAACACACAAAGAAATCACCATATTATATTATGTATGCCAATAATATATATATGTATATGTATGCATTAATATACAGGATATCACGTTAGCTATGTTAACATACATATAAAGAAGGATATCAACATCCCATATTACGTATGTTAATATTTATATTCAAGTACAAATATATCAATCCATCACATTTCGTACGTTAATGTGTGCATATGCATAAATATGCAGAGTTACTAACATATCAGTCGGTTACGTTAGCATACATATACAACAGGATATGAGGACGTGACATGGCCCGGGTCGAACTGACCGGTGACAGTAGGACAAGCGACATAGATACCTGATACACACAAGTTAGAAGAGAATATACCTAGTACTGAATTGCCAGATTTTCTGTATACAGAATGAGTCAGGGATAGCAGTATATTCTGCAACTTACCGTTTGTGAGGTAAAACTTCCCGCTGTGTTTGTGTAAGGGATATTTGTATTAGGGCCTGAAAACAAACAAAAACAGATCAAGATATTTATTCCATAAATCAGAAAACATGGATTAAGAGAGCTGTCGTCTTACACAAGTGTAAATATAAGGGGTTTTCATGTTGCACACAGCATAGTACTTAAGTGGAGGGCACACATGCATACTGCTAACTTACTCTCAAGTATACAAACTCACAAACCTACAGTTCACTTGGAACATAAAAGCGACATTCAAATCGAGGCAAATTTATAATTTGTTTCTATTGTTAGTATTTGTTTAGGCATCATGATGTCTTTACACCCTGGTTTCCGGGCATACAGGCTAAACACGACCAATACAGAAGGCTATTTCTCAGTGTCAAATTAGCTATTCATGCTTCGTACATGAGAATTTAAATTGCGGAAAATACACATTAAGGTATCATTTAAACCTTTCGAAAGGTGGATTACATATTGTAAAACTTTCAGCTTCTATAGGAGGAAATTTATTGGGGCCAGTGACAGGACTATTTTAAGATGCAGGTGACAGGCTGAGCTGTTGAAACATGATGCCCCCCAACACAGGTAGAGCTTGGGAGGGAGGGCATGACCTTTACCCGCCGCAAGGTGACCAATCCCCCAACTTAGGAGTCGAAATATATATCAAAACGATGGGGTCAAGACAGGTATCATAAAATAGGGTCAAGATATAAGTATTCTTTTCAGGTTAAAAAAATTAAATAAATACTGCAAACACAATTTTCACAACATTTGAGCTAAAGTTCACAAAAAAGTATCTCCTATTGTAAATAATGGGTTACATAAGATACTCGCAAAGTAATTTGTGTTGTGCTTTCAAAGCATATACACAGACATTCAACAGAGTAGGCCAGCAGTATCACAAACACATTCATAATCAGATATTGCAATAGAGAAACAAATACAAAATACCTTAATAATTCATATTTCATTATTTTTTGGAATACAAAATTTAGGCATTTATGTCCAGAACCTAAAAGAAATTATCTCAGATATGAAAATGCAGACCCCTGCCACTTGTCCTACTGATGCTGTGTAGGGATGGAAGCTGGAGATACATATGGCATCAGTGTTAGTTAATCTATGATGGATTAGCAGTAGGTAACATGGCAAACAAATGCAAGGCTAGTTATTGAAAGAAACAAATGACATTAATCTAGCTCAACATGCCATTCCATTTGAAGCACAGCTCACACACACTCCAAGCTGCCACACATTCACCTAGCACACAATTTCTTAACAGTATAATATGCTCAAAGAATGGCCTTTTCATTCACACAAATTCTACTAAAATGCAAATAAAGAGGACTACATACCTCTAATTTCTAAGGAAAGGAGAAGTTCTACAGGATTTTGCTAAGCAACTAGCATGGCTTGAAGTCAAAGAAACCAAATATAATTTTACAGTGACTTAGAAAAAAGAGAAAAGTGTAGTAAATTTGATGAAACTTGGTATACGAACCATAATAGCTTTGGCTTGGTTGATTTAAAGCATTATATCCTGCCATATAGCTAGGAGGCGACACGACTTGGCTGGGCTGGGTTTTAAGTTTCCCCACTGAAGAAGAAGGAAAAGATGGTGAGGGGAAAGTCCATGAAGCAATGTACTGCTTGTGTCACGTCCCACTCCTACTGACACATCCTGCCACTGTATTTCACTCCCGTAACTACTCCTTTCAACATAAGTCCAGCGCCAGAAATTGTCCCTAATCCTATATTCCTTCCAAACTGCCCAATAGTTAAGGTATCATAAAGAAGAGTAGAAATTTGCCATTTTGTAAGGATTTTGCTGTATGTTATCATTATACGGACTAGTAGACTAAAACAGTTAGTTTCTATTGCTGAAGTCATGTACTGGCACATTCAATGTTACTTTCACCCTTTACTTGTTTTTAACAACATAAAAATCTTTTCATTTTCAGTTTTCTTGTGAATATTTTTGGTTTCTACAGAATAATATTTCAATGAATGTGAGAAAATATCCAAATCAAACTACAGAGTTTGCAATGAATAACGCTCTCCCTATGACCACTATTTGTGGAGATCGATTCTTTGTTGCATCCTTTGGAGGTGTAAAAAAGAGGATTCACAGCCTTAACAAAGTTGATTTCCCACAAGAAAGTCGCAGCATGGCTGGTGGACAAAGACAGAGCAAACCCAACTCATTCTGTTAAGTTGAAAAGCATGTAACATGTGAGTGAGTTTCAAAGACGTCCTATCGTGAGCTACAACTTCCCCACCACCCCTCAGACAGAATGGCGCGTGTTGCTCAACATTGTCAGACTTCCTCGTCTCAGGACAATATACCCATCATAATCAGTCCTTTCAACCCCACCAGCACATAAATAGCCTCTCAGCTGATCACTGACAGCTTTCTATGCATACAACACCTCATTTGTTAGAAAAAATGCTTTCCATTCAAGACCAGTCTTTCATCTGAGCATCTTACATGGGTGCCAACTCCGACCACTGCTGGAGGGTACGGACAGGTAAATCAGCTACAAAATTGCTTCTATTCACACTTTCCATAGATACATACCATCACTGCAAGCAGTTTAAATTACTTCTCAGCTGTGACAAAAAGCTTTCTTATAGTAACATAGCCATGCTTCGTAGAGTACACAATATCAGTGTTAATTTTGTGCCTTTTACGAAGGACCATCAACTTAATATAAGCAATGTCCATATACAAAGTGGAAGGAGTTGAATAGCCACTGTGTACATACACATGTTAATCTCTTGAAGTCAGGCACTATACCATGATAATTGAATTTGATGACATGACTACCAAGAACAGGGCTGCATACACCACACACATATCTGTGTCAGTTTGGGGCAACAGGCAACAAATGGGTTGGGGGGAGAGTCAAATAGAACATATCAGCTGGTATAATGGATTTGTCAACGCCATCAAAATGCAGACCATATGCAAGGCAAGTGAGAGAAACTTAATTAATTCAACAAGTAAAATGCAGTACAATGTTAACTTCAAAGGTAGCAGTTCCATCATTACATTGAACACAATTCTTTTGGCTTGGCTTTAAAAAGATATATTTATCAGTGTATCCTAATTGTAACCATAAAACAAAGATATATGTGTGTATGCAATGGATAAAGGGAACTGGTACCTTTGAAAATATGGTAAACATTAGAGTTAAAAGAAACTTAAATGTACAACATTGAAAGAAAAGAAAATTAGCATAATTCTGTTGACTGGAGCTGTATGTCTCAAACATCACAGCACTAAAATGCTGTCATTCCCGACCAACGTGGATTGAGACAATCAAAATGGTATGGTACATTCACAACATGAAGAGGAAAGAAAATGTTAAGAATAAATTAACAAAAATCCATTCCAAACTTCAATGGACTGAATCCATACCAAACTTCAATGAAATCATAAATTTGTGTTACGAAAGGACTTATCATTAATTCACTGCATTTCTTCTTATTAGCATAAAACATGAATAATTCTGTTTGTTGCCTGTGTGACAATATTAAAGTGTGTTACAATACAGGAAGAGGAAAAGGTTGCGACAACTTACACTCAGTCCCGTAGGCAGAAGGCAGCATGCTGTAAGGGTTCTGGCCACCCTGATACGGGTACCCCGTTGATGGAATAAAAGAATTTGAACTTTGCCCACCGACGTAGGCCATGTTGTTTTCTGTGGTGGCAGTTGTGGCAGCAGCAGCGACAGCAGCAACAGTGGCAGCAGTGTCCTGTGTGGAGGCTGTTGTGATGATGCTGTTCACCTCAGCCGCTGCTGATGTTGTAAGGATTTGAGCAAACTGGCCAGCAGTTCTGTTATGAAGTAAAACATCATAGAGTAATGAATTGTCAAACTTGCACAAAACTGGCTACAGATATATAGGGCCTGTTCTACTGATGAGTAGTTGTATCAGTTACAATATAGCAGAGGCACATAATGTGAGACAACTCCGCTGTTCTCCGACTGATGGTACAAATATGCTGCTACATCACCATGTGATGAGAGGCATATGTCTATCACCGGAGCTGTGAACATCCTTGGTGACTTACAGTTAGAGTATATGTAGGGAGAAGACACCAGCATGTCAAGGAAGTTATCATACAAACCTATGTCATTAAACCAAGTGATACAAGTAGCTTTGTGTTTCATATAAGACGTAATGGATGATAAGCAGAATACGAATCTAGGCATCATATGAGGTGAAGCAGTACCTGACCAACCATACATTTACACTGCACCCATTAAAAAAGGGGCAACTCCCAGCTACATAACAATTCATAGATATGTGAATTAAATAGTTGATGGGAAGAAGTCGAAATTGCATTTCTTTTGGTCACTTTGCAGGACAATATTTCCAAGTTATATTCTGCATCAATGTCGGGGAAACATGAACATATGAAGGTACAAAACCTAACAAGAGGGGCAGTTGGGCTAAATTAATCCCGTAAACCTTGAGCAAACAAGGAGCTTGACATTGTCAGCACATAACACTCTTTACACTTGGGGAGTTTGACTTAAATTAAACCTGTTTACTCAGGACAAAGAAAGTTTGACAAGTTTAACCCACTAACCCCTAACAAGACAAGCAAAGTTTGCATCGCCCCAGCTTTGAATTAAGGCAAGTTTAACCCTTTAGCCATCAACAAACCAGCAAAGTTTAAATACAGCTTACTGAAATAAAAAGTCTGGCTCTGGGCAGGCAGCAAATGCCAGCATGGCAGCTCAGAAAGTTTAACCTAGGGTCTACATAAAGTGCGGTCCCTTGATGGCAGGTCAGTCTCAAGTGGCGACCCAACACAGCTAAATACCACTTGATTGCACCTATTAATTTGTACAAAGTAGCCACTCACATCAAACAGACAGGTATCTCATAATGTAGGATAAGACTGGCTGTTCCAACCAATACAGACTTCAACCTGTGAAGATTTACATGCACTTGAACCGCTCAGTAGTCACCTAAACTAGCATCAAGCTGGCAGCCCAGGCCAACACTTTCATGGGGCTTTGTGAACACCAAGCCCCTCGAGTCCAACACAGACCGCCAGCTGCTCAACACTATCTACCTGCTTCACTTAGTTTAAACGATTATGCACAGACATAAGTTCTATATAATTTTAAAAAAAGATTTAAAAAAACAAAAAACAAAGTATGATAGGGCCCCTATTTAATTTAAGAAATGAGGAAAACCTTATCAGCATGAAAATTCTCACATTTGGGATTGCACTTACATCACTTAATGCATAGGTAGGGCTAAAATGTGTCAAAAAGACTGATTTTATAGGTTCTCACGAAGCGTTTCGCTAATATTTGAGTGAGAATGGTTTTATGCCGCTTTTAGCAATATTTCATCACGGCGGAGAACACCGGAAAAAGGGCTTCACCCATTGTACCCATGTGGTCAATTAAACCAGGTTTTTCAGGGCATGATGAGCCTACACTTTAACCAACTGCGCTACCCAATCGCCCCCTTATATTTGAACAAGAGCAAGTTTTTGACCCAGGATGATTTTCTCAGGAGATGTAGATAAAAACAGTACAAACATGTGGTAATAAATTCATCTTGGTGCATGGACTTTCTCTTGAAGTTTGAAAATTGGTCTTTATCACATATTTTAGCAATGCTTATGTATTTGGTCATGTGAGAACTAAAAAAAAATATATAATGCAAGTGTAAGAAAGACAAAAAAGGTTTGTTGTCAGCCATTTGAACTTATATGATAATTATCATACCAATATTTCAAAGTTTTCCACAACTTTCAAATTTGACATTTCCAGGGGGTCAAATGGGGAGTACCGTTATCCTTTCTTCTTGAATGGACTTTCTTATGCCCATGAACATGAGACACTGTTTGTGCAGGTTTGGGTCACAAAGCTTCAAGTATCCAAAGTTTGTTTCAGTAGTAACTATTACGTCAAGTAAGACACACAACTAAAGTGTAAATTGTCAGAAACTAATCCTACAATTGCTCAATGTCCATTGCAAGTGGTTGGAGATAAACAGGACTTCTATGAATAAAACAGATGATTATTTTCCCTTTGCCAGAATCAATTACAACATCTACTAAGTATACTGTGTAAATAACACAAATCCATACATCAGCCATAAATGCTTCTTGTTACGACCAGTTATTTACTGGAAACATAGAGGTTCTGTCATTTTTTGCCATAATATAAACTCCAACCTATTAAGCCCATGCCTATAAATTTGCAAATAGCCCATTCCCAATGTGCTGTGTTCTCGTAAATTTAGGGGAAAACCCCATAGCATCCACTTTAAAAAGTCAAACCAATGACCCTTCGACTTGTTACCATGACAACCACCAGAATTTAATTTCCCTTATTCCACACTCGACAATCAATTTCATTTTCTAGGCTGTCCCCAGCCATGCTAGGAAATAGTTTTGAAAGTATATGACCAAAATTCAGCCATGTCTAACGAGTCTCTGAGGTGTCATAACACATAGCCATTATTGACAAACTATCATCGTAAAGCATCATACTAAAACCATTTAGCAATAAGCAATCTTTCAAGAAAATTACCCAAGCCACTTAGGGTCAAGTCGGGGATCAATGGAGAGCTTCATTGGGGATAGTCTGGGAGAGAGAGGCGGATAGAGCCAGATCAACCCTTCCCACAAATGCTCCAAGTCCCTTCACATGAATAACATTTGCCTTATGAGCGAACCTTCATTTGGCTAGATTGTTTACGATTAGCAAATCACAGTCGGAATTGGAGTTTAAACTGCCATAAATCTTACCATATTTGTAAAAGATTTGGACGAGGTTGGAATATTTCACTGCTTTCTACACCACAACATTGACCCTAGTTTTAGGTAGTTTATTGAATATTTTATGCTCTCTCTGGTTCACTGTTGTTTTTTACATTCATCATCATTAGTAAGTAAGATTAAACAAAATAATGTTTTTGATTGGGATGTGATATTATATATCCAACAGTTTAATACTGAAGCATATCCATAAAGGTTGAAAAGATTAACAACTCACTTATAAAAGTTGGCTGGATATGTAGAATTCTGGAAAGTTGGAGAAGCCTTGTTTGGATCAGCTGAAATGAAACAAATATATACAACATATTTATAATAAAAATAAAACTATTTTGAGAAAGCATCAATCCTCATATAACCCTGCTGGTTTTTTATATTGATTTGAAGACAAAATTACATTTAACTCACAGGAACAGTTATTTTTTGGGGGTGCCTTTGGCATATTCTAATGAATTATCATGAGCAAGCTAAACCCTTTAACCTTCTCATATCTGTGTGCCAAGTATTTAATGCCATATTCCCTAATTTCTCTCCAGTATGACAAATCCACAGCTTCAGATCAGCATGACACACAGCTTGCTTCTGCTGTCTCTACAGTCGGCCATCTTCACCTCATCATAAGCAGCACTAACAAAGCACAATTAAGTAAGTGCTTGTTAACTGTGAACACCACATGCCAGCTGCTCCTTGGGGGTCCCCCACCCCCTGCTCCTAGTCCCCCAGCAGCTGGGCCCACCTCCCCCACCCCACTAGGTCAAGACTGACACCCCCAGGGATGTCCTGATTGTCCATCCTGAATCGCCAGGTAGGAAGCTGAGGGTCATGGCTTTGGCACCATAAATCAGACTGATCAATCACACTTAAAACAAGGAAAACATGGGAGCCCCACACGATGCCAGTAAGTGCCTACATGTATTGAAGTGACTTCTATGTTGTTAAGACCTTGTAGAAAAATTAAACACTGAATTAATGTCCAGTGTACATCCAAGAGTATTTAAAAAATCATTAAGAAATATATATAATTACTTAAAGGATAGATTCAATATTTCAATAACCTATGTTCAAAATAATATACTTTCTTTTAAGATTTCTAGTTCACCAGGTAATTTGCGTATTTCTAATAATATCCGGACTATTTGTATGAGAGGAAAGGGGGCAAAAATACAATTTAACATGAAAAATAATTTTGTATGTATAAAGACGATTGCCACAGCATGCAGACAACAAACAAGAAAACCATTGCATACTTAACTGCGACCATTTACCACTACCAGCCTGAGGATAAACCATGTAGACATTGCCTTTCTAATACAACCACTAACTTCCCAATTTCCATCTAAACAGAGATCCTTTTAATCATCCTAGCCCAACATCCAGGTTTCAATGTGCGTTAGTCCATATAAAGTAGACCAGTGATTGAAATGGTGGGCAAATCAAAACAAATGGCACCATGGAAACGGTACTGGAGACTCACTTAAACAATTAATAGAGACTGAAAATCACCATCAATCCCATAATCTCAATATTATTTGTGCCAGCTTCATAATTAAAACATGTCTGTTTGAGAAATCCCTAGTGGCACAATAACATCATGATAATCAATTCCAGCATAATAGGAGTTGTACCTGGTCTACACTGCTAAGCTGTCATATGGGTTGGGTGTATCAAACTGGTGGCTGAGGAAACAGGTGCACCACACTGCACAACACATTCAAAACACTTGCAGAGGAATACTGACAGGTTCAAATCACAAAATTGACTGAACATTTCTTCCAAAAGGAATGTAGGATTTGGGATAGGAATACACTGCATATATTTCATTAACAGGTTTGTCTAATATTGGTAGTCACAGTTGGCAGTTGAAACAGTGGAACCTTAAGAGCATAATAAATGTAATTAAAACTTGACAAACAGTGGAACTGGACAGAGTCAGTTTTGTTTAAGCTGCAGTCATTAATATAACAATATCACATGAGCTTGTATATTCAAGCCTGGGGCAGCAAAACCACTGTTCATGAGAAAAATAAGCCATGCTGTCTGGTATGTCACACACCCAACCTGGCGACACAGTGTGACCATCACATTCCCTTTTAGGAACTTGGGGCGTATTCTGTCCCTGAAATCCCATGCAGCATGTTGACCAGTGCACTAAAACATAGTAATTCATGAAGCAAGTTGTTCCCTCAATGATATACCACCCCAGTCCTTGATCCCAGCTGTGTTCCCCCTGTCTACCTGCCCAGTCTCTGTTCCCCCTGTCTACCTGCCCAGTCTCTGTTCCCAGCTGTGTTCCCCCTGTCTACCTGCCCAGTCTCTGTTCCTAGCTGTGATCCCCTGTCTACCTGCCCAGTCTCTGTTCCCAACTGTGTTCCCCCTGTCTACCTGCCCAGTCTCTGTTCCCCCTGTCTACCTGCCCAGTCTCTGTTCCCAGCTGTGTTCCCCCTGTCTACCTGCCCAGTCCCGATTCTCTATTCCTAGCTGTGTACCTCCTCGGTCTAGATGCCACACGCACATTTTAGACCATCAAGCACAAAATTCATCTAAAAGGGCTATTTTTTATGGAAAATGTGATGAAGACGGTCAAACTGACAATTGTCCAAAATAAAAATTCTGAAAATCTATTTGTTTCAATTTTTGTTAGTTTGTTGTTCTGACCTGTGAAAGTGTCCAGATTATCACTGGCTGTGCTTGCCGTGAAGGGAGACTCAGACGAGCTGTTCTCTGTGGAGGGTTCACTCTTTACAATCACTGAAACATACCATTTTCACCATACCTCATCACAAGCTCACAAATTCAATAATCAAGTCTTGAGTTTGAATTTGGAATATAAGCTGATCTCTAACATGATAAAATTACAGGACTTCATCAACCATTCAAGGAAATATATTTGTGTGTCAAATATACTTCTGTTGTTCCTGCTTTACATACTGTAATATGTCCTCCGGGGACATAACTCCTATGTCTGCCTTTGACTAGTCCAATGCAACAATGCATGCTACAAACATCAAAACAATTGCAACCCATTTTGCTGATAGATGAAATGTGCAAACAATTTTGCACTCATTTCCATGTAATAGTACAGTCATTGTTCATTCGTCACCCCTGAACTGGCAGTGATTAGTTAGACCTGCTCTGATAACCTTTGCACACGGACAAGCCAAATCATCATCAGGATAAACTCTCCATCTTTCACCAAAATTAATTGCTTTGTCTACAGCAAGAACAACATGGCATAACTTAGATTACAGACATTTAGGGACTGATAAAGACCCAGCTATCTTGGGAAATTATCTTAATAAGTAAAATCACTCCCTCATTCAGCTTTAGGAAATGGACTGCTCGAAACTATTCCAATATCCGGGATATAATTCCAGAAAATACTTTTTGAAGATTAGAATAAATAGGCACTTCTTTGTTCCACCAAACAGGCTTCATGCATAAAATTAACAGCTGAAAGATTCAAATGAGTCAAACAAACATCAACAGTAATTTTCTACAACGCTGGACCTAACCATAAATAACCCTGTATTTTCAGCAGGCAGCTTGTGTCCCTGATGTAACTAGGGTGGTGTTCTTTCAGTTTGTGTCCCTGACTAGGGTGGTGTTCTTTCAGCTTGTGTCCCTGATGTAACTAGGGTGGTGTTCTTTCAGTTTGTGTCCCTGATGTAACTAGGGTGGTGTTCTTTCAGCTTGTGTCCCTGATGTAACTAGGGTGGCGTTCTTTCAGCTTGTGTCCCCAACGTAACTAGGGTGGTGTTCTTTCAGCTTGTGTCCCTGATGTAACTAGGGTGGTGTTCTTTCAGTTTGTGTCCCCGAAGTAACTAGGGTGGTGTTCTTTCAGCTTGTGTCCCTGACGTAACTAGGGTGGTGTTCTTTCAGCTTGTGTCCCTGACGTAACTAGGGTGGTGTTCTTTCAGCTTGTTTCCCTGACGTAACTAGGGTGGCGTTCTTTCAGCTTGTGTCCCTGATGTAACTAGGGTGGTGTTCTTTCAGCTTGTGTCCCTGATGTAACTAGGGTGGCGTTCTTTCAGCTTGTGTCCCTGACTAGGGTGGTGTTCTTTCAGCTTGTGTCCCTGATGTAACTAGGGTTGTGTTCTTTCAGTTTGTGTCCCTGATGTAACTAGGGTGGTGTTCTTTCAGCTTGTGTCCCTGATGTAACTAGGGTGGTGTTCTTTCAGCTTGTGTCCCTGACGTAACTAGGGTGGTGTTCTTACAGCTTGTGTCCCTGACGTAACTAGGGTGGTGTTTTTTCAGCTTGTGTCCCTGACGTAACTAGGTTGGTGTTCTTCCAGTTTGTGTCCCAGGTGTACCATATTTTCTTGAGTATAGTGCGCACCCAAGATAAAAAAAATCACCAGACATGTTGATTTACCGTTTAAATTGTATTATTTGTTCTGCTAGGCATTGTTTTATATGCAGAGATTTAGATTACCTTGTGTATTTTCTTGTAAACTAAGCCGGAAACAGCAATCAGCTGCACACACCTTTTCTTGGAATCCACCTGTGATTCGGTTAAAACTTACTCAATGATATAACTTTAAAGGATTTTGATGCACGGATAGGGAGATATTGCATCTGAAACTATTTATTTACCAAGAATAATATATTCCAATGTCATGTTACTTTAGTTGCAGCTTTTACTAAATACATTTAAAATAATAATAACTCTAAGCATAGCACTTCAGTGCAGCTGATTGAAAAACAATTATGGCGTGTGTAGTGCGCACCCACTTCTACACAGTTTTTTTTTGGGGGGGGGGGGGGGGTGGGGAGTATGCACTATACTCAAGAAAATACGGTAGCTAGGGTGGTGTTCTTTCAGCTTGCGTCCCTGTTGTAACTAAGTGCCAGGTTAAAAACATTAATTAAGAATTATCATGAATAGGCTATTTATAAAGAAGAAGGTGCAAGGTTTCAAAATGTTTGCCCTTGTGTTCTTATTTAACGGAATAGCTGAAATAACTTACTTCAATTTAAAACACATATAGAAATTCCACATTTTAATGCAACCCAAAAAGTACCAGGACCTCTGCCACCATTACCCCATAAATCACTGCGCCAATGAAGACCCCTTATATTGGACTAACATGCTTGGCTTGGAAAATGTGTTACTAATTTTGCTGGTATGATTTGCAAGGGTTTGGCTCTTGATTTGACAATTAGCAAAGTTATTCTCACGACAGAAGCAAGAGAACACACTCCAACTTGTCAGGGCAATCAAGTAGAATGTACTGACTTATGCACCACACCGTGATAATGCTGAGAGCTCCTCAAAAACAAAATGGCCGTCTGTGGTTGGTGAAGAAGACAACAAAAAATCATGCACTCACTTGAAGCAAATTGTATCAGGTAGAGATGAAGGGCCATAAATACAATGAGATTCCATTTAAAGCAAGCACAGAGAGGGAGACTGAGCAATTACTAGCAATTGAGTGTCTAAGTGCCCAATGGACTGGGAGTTGGTAAATCTAATCAGTGCCATTGGTGAGGAGCTGGGGCTCTGGCTGGGGAGTTCCCCAGTCCCTGGTCTTAATGAATTGGACAAACTGATCCACAACAGACACAGGCATTACCACAGCAAACTGGAGGGCCTGCACCTATTTGTCTCACAAGTGTAACCATTTAGAGACTGTAAAAAAGAGAATTTGTTCGCACATTCAGCTGAAGTGGGAATGGTTAGGAATTAAGCTAACATCTTCTTGGACTAATATGAGGGCAATATTTCCATTACTTGCAATGTCACTGATGGGACAAGGAAGAAAACTATTTGATTCAGTGTTGTCATTAAGATCTTGAAAATGAGATTTGAAAAGGAATGACTTGAAGGGGATTTCAGTGGTGATGTGGCGTCAGCTGTATAAATGACTGTTGATAAACATATTAAAGAATATTTGTTTAATACTTACATGAGGATGTATTGACAGGGTTGCTAATCACCCAAGAGTTTGGGTTGGTGTAAGTCGTCCCATCTGACACGGGCAGGACCAAGCTGCCTGTACACACAGAAACAACATGATAACATTGAGTTTACCCATGCATACAGAAACAAAGTATGTAACAAAGAGCGTGTGCTATGCACTAATTTTTTTAAATAAAATTGACTGTCAGCAAAAAAGAAATGTCCAGCAAAGTTTTTTGAGGCTTCTAAATCAATTTGACCTTTCAGACAGAAGCCTTCCTGAGCAAGTATAGGTGTCAACAAAAAAATGTCTGTTGACAGCTGCGTTGCAATCTCCTCCCCCATCACAACACTGAAATGTGGCAAGGCAGTTATATCATGCCGTACATCATTTTTTCAAATCGTGATACAGTTTTGGAGCATATGTCAACTCATCCAAATTGGTTTCATGGGATGAAGAAGATTGGGCCATGATTGGACCCTGGTGATAATTCTGATAAGTTGCAATGGTGTCAGTACCAGCGTGCCCGAGATTGATGGGCGATTCAGTGATGCAGACCAACCATAATGTCTCCCTAGTTCCATAACAATGGACACTACCCAGCTCTATCGCATCATCTCTCTGATAAGGCCTCTGACAATAACTCATAAATTTTCTTGTCACAGTGTCAATGTGAAACTGGTGAAATATGTCGGAAATGCCCCAGCCCCAATTCTTTATTTAATTCTGACATTAAATCTTTGGATATAGCGCAATCCATTAAGTGTCATAAATAAAAATATTACTCTTCTGCTTTGGGATGAGTCTACTGACATTCAAAGGAAAGACTGTATCCTTTTTACAAGTCAATAGCAAACATAAAAAAAAGCATATGACAAGTTATTTAAATTGACATCATTTTTTTTAAGCCCGAAATGAATATTTATTATGAAATTGAAAAGATGATTTTATTTATCTTACATCTTTTTGATAAAATGATAATTCCACAGGGTTATGGGAGTGAATACAAAATCTAAAGAGATGAGAGAATGATCACAAATAAACACACAGATACATCCTGGATTACAAGGAAGCTGACAGGGCCCGTCTGTACAAAAAGCACTCAGGATGTCACAAGTTAGGTTGGAAATAATAATAGAGGTCTTACCCTCAGCAGTGCCATTTGTGTTGAGAGTGTCAGTGAGGGCCTGAGCTTGTGCTTGAGCCTGAGCTTGTGCTTGAGCCTGAGCTTGTGCTTGAGCCTGTGCTTGAGCCTGCGCCTGTACTTGGTTGAGAGGGGAGTTGGTGGCACTGTCAAGGTGTGAGCTGCTGCCTGGACTGCTAGACAGGGGCTGCAGATCCACTAACCTACAACACAGTGATGTTCTTCAGTTCTATCTATATCCTGGTATCATCCTCCTCTTCCCACGCACTTATGTATGTCAAAGACAACATCACATCAAGACATTGTTATAACCTGTCTGTTACAAACTGCCTCTAAATACAAGAACCAATCACGGTTATAATAACATTTTTAGGCAAATAATAAATCGTGACTACTCTTGAACTAAATTTGAAAATTCTTTCATTGGTACCAGTCCATGTATTTCTAATATCCTCAGGCAGACACAAATGTGTTTAGAACTCCCATGAAAAAAGTCATTTTGAACCACAACATAATTTCTAATTTAATGACATCTACAAACAACTTAACATGTTAATACTTACAAAATGTCGCCAAATATTTTGTAGCAACATAACTTCTCATTTTGATCAATTCTCCCAGAAAAGGGCATATTGCTAGTTCATCAGTAGGGCTATTGTTAGTCTTACATAGGGTGTCTGACACCATACTTGTCATAAAAGGCTCTTTGAAAAAGCAGGGAGATTTTTTATCAAAGAATTTCAACCGGATGGGATTTTGACAGGATGCACAATAATCACATGCTTTCTTCTCTCAAAACTGTTTTTGGCATTTCTAATGAATTAGCCTTGTCATCCGGTGTCTCCAAGAATACTTTGCCAGCCAGCTTTTTCTATATTCCTCTTATTTAAACACACCACCACCTAATTTCAATGGGGGAAATTACCATTAAACCATGCAGAGCAGGAACTAAATGGGTTCCTAATCTCCTGACGTCAAGGAATTGACATTTATAATCACGTATCTTTCTTTCGTAAGCATAACCATTATATCAAAACAAAAATAAAAATTTTGCTAATAAATATTGATGCAAACCCTTGAATTCATTCATTCCATCTATGCAAGCTAAGGTTGGTATAGGGCATATTTCAACCAAATGTTACTGTGTAAAAAATAGATTTCATTTAAAAGTGTGATAGAAGAAATTAATCATGAGTTCTATGACCCAAGCTGTGACAGATCAGCTGTGACATTAACTGGGCATCTGTAATTATAACGCAGCAGGATGTAGGCAGAGACTCATTCACCACTATACCAATAAAACCAGTTTCACTTAGTTCTAAAACTTTACTGCAATTAATCATATCCAAGGCTGCATGATGTTAATGGTCCATTAAACAGCAACAACTGAACACCTACCATTGTTGCTAATGATTATACATTAACTCAATGTTTATGTACAGTAAAATCCATAATACATGATCCTCACAACAATAGATAAGTTTAATGTTACCTAGCAAAAAAAATGGAGTCAATCTCAAGAAACATTTCATAAAATATCTCTTTACTTTTTTTCACAAACAAACAGTTATCGATAAATAGTTCCTTGATGCTACAACCTTTTAAAATAATAAATATAACCACATCACATCGCCTCCACCATCACTAATACCCTCCCTAATTTCCATACTGAGTAAAATGCAACCAGAATCAGCTATCTAATATGAATTGTTAATGCTGATGATATAATTTCTTGCTGAATGTTTTCCAAGATACAATCTAGACTGTGAAAATGCTTTTTATGGCTGTTAAGCTTCTTAGCTAGAATCAAACTGTGAGATCTCTTGTCTAAGCATCTCAATTTGACACAAATTTGGCCTAACTGTCAAGTGATTGGTTTAAACGCTCCATAATGCCCGCAGATAGTGATTGAAGGAATGTCCACCTGATTATCTGCTCATATCATAAATGTTTAAGTACCCCTGGCAGACAGCGCCATCAGAGCAGCGAGCTTCAGGCCAATATTCAAACTTTATCCTATCCCACTTCCCCTGTAGAATGAAGCATTAGACACTTTATCAATAACAACAAAACCAATGCATATCAAACAACCCACAACAAATTTGTACAATGTGTTGCTTAAAAATAGCCAAAGACCCTCCTTGAAATGACATTTATACAAATGGTGGAGATCAGATCACTTCCTGAAATGAATACTTTGAATACGCATATTCTGATGAATAATTAATAGTACATCAAATTTGGTACTAGTTTGAGCTGAAGTTGGTGAAGTTCATGTTCCGAGGCTAAATTAGATAATGACCACATTACATATATGAAATCTTCAAAAAAGAAGTGTATGACTTCCAGTTAAATCCATCCTGACACTTTTTCTTTTAAATGGCGTATCTAGACGCTAGCACCAAAGAAAATTGTCCTAATTATTCCCACAAAAAAATTTGCTTCTATTTTTTTAAACACAGTCAGTCTCTTTCCTAGCATAGAAATCAATAGTGCATCTCAATATCAAAGAGCGACAATGCCTACAAGTCTGTAATATTTTATCAATTAAAACCAGTGAAACAGAAGACATTTTAGATTCCCCGAAAAAATGTCCACAGCTGACAGACCCAGGGCATTAATAAATGTTCACGCTAAACTACACAGAAAGGTTTCAGTCGAGCAATTTCATTTGTAAAATGACACACTATGTCATATTAGGAAAATCTATCACAAAATAGAAAGTTTTTGTTTCACTGTTTAATTCACAGTTTCATAAAGGTTCTTGTTCCTGAAACAGATCCAGTGTATTATTACACATATTGGCCTGAAAGAAGGGCAATATCAGCATTACTAACCAATCAATGAAACAACCAGAGTTTTTCAAGTAGGCCAATATTTTCCTTTAAACTGAATCTTTGTGAAATGAACCAATATATATAGAGAGTAATCGTAGGCTTCGTAAGCTAGAAAGAAAGACTGTTACAAAAGCATTATGTTATAGTCATATTGTACTGTCCACATGGTTACAAATGGTATGGGCAATATACATTTTCTTAGATCTTAGATCTGGTATTTTAGTGTAGAAAGAAGATCTCTATGCTGATGAGATTAGTGATGTCAAGAAGTTATTTCTGAAGGTCATGATTGGGTTGCTAGGCGAGGCGTTACATCCCTGCATTAATTATTAAGGAATTCCTGACAGTGCACTGAGGCCCAGAAGAAACTGGCTATCAGAAGAATCTACATAGGTGAACTGGTTCAGGGGTGTCAAAATATTGTTCCACATGAAGATGATGTTACCCAAACTAAGCTTGCAGCACCTGAAAGCATTGCTTAACTTGTCATCGGGTTACACTGCAATTAACAAATAAATTAGTTCATGATTGTCAAGAATCACGGGGATCCTTTTATAAGTGAAAGTTTCTAAACAAAAATTATGAGTATAATCAAAGTACGGGAATTTTGGACATATCACATGCCATTCTGTTGATTCATGCTCTGCTCATCAACTTAGTGCATACTCTACACATCATCCACAGTGGTCACCCACAAGTACATTACAGAACTCATTCCAAGACATTTAAGAACAATCTATTTAAATATATGATACAAACATGAAAACAAGAAAATTGTGACTGAAGTTGAGTATTAATATGAAAATTGAGGGTGAGAGAATAACATTCTGGTGCTCTTTTGCACATGTGTGTGTGCGTGTGTGTGTGAGGTGTGCGTGCGTGCGCTCGTGTGCGTGGTGTGTGCTGGCGCATGTGCGTACGGTGTGTGCGTGTGCACAAATTAGTAGACTGCCAAGGACCAGCTTTATAGTGAGGTACTGCAAGAGAACGAGGTGGGCTAAGAAGCCAAGGTGCAGTGCACATGTGAACATGTAGAACAGGTGTCCCCTGATCTTATGGTTCTGATAATCCTTGCCTAATCCTAATCATGGCCACCTCACATGTCCCTCCCCCACAACGCATGCAGTAGTTTGTTGGGGTGTGTAGTACAGTCAGTTAGCAGGACTCTGTGTCAGGCTAGCTAGTCCATTCACATCCTACTACTATAGACAGGTGGCCCTCAACATGTCTGCTAGATTATATTCCACTGTAATCTCCTGCACACTCCTATTACCCTGGCTATTACGTTCTCTTCCCTGTGCCCCTGTTGGTAGCTCCTGCTAGGTGACACTAGGCCAAGGTGATATGTAGTCAGTGAATGTGAGAGGGCAAGGGACACCAGACTCAAACACATACCTGGATGCTGCTGACACCACAGGACTGGTGTTGTCGACCAACTCAGATTCGTTATCAAGTCGCGACCGCTTCACCTGAAAAACACAATGTGGATTCTCATCAAACTGACAGAACATTGTAGGGTTCTGTTGTTCCCGCTTGACTAGAACGATGCGGCCATACACAGCCAATCACAATTTAGAAAGCTGCCCTTAGACAATATGACTTTGCCACTTGAATGATCGGTAGAGTAGATAGTACTTTAATAGCCTGGGATGATGGAGACAACAATAAGCTCAAGTACAAAGGCCAATTGAAAAAGAATGTGGGTAAATGCAAGTCCAGTGGACTCCGTACAGGTGAAAGGGCAGACTGTTAGCTAAGAACCTGTATAAACACTGTATACACCTTTCCAGGCCCACGCTCCTAGACTCAGTGATAGGACAACGTCACTCAGTATGGAAATAATGAGTCTATACACTTTGAACGCACAAAATTGTCTGTAGTATATTATTCATATACTATCAGATAAGTAGGCTCAGAAATCCCTTGCACATCAATATTCCAGTCTAACATTCCAGTATAAATCACACACCAACAAAGTGACTCCAAAGTATAAGGAATCCACAAACAGCTTGCAACAGTCAATTTCTCAAATGCTATTTGACCAAGAACAAAGTACAAGATGTTTCCATTGAGAAACTCCTTGAGGACTGGACACAGACAGTAAATGCACATGCAGCTAACGCCAAGTTTGACTCCTAGCTGTGACTGTGTGGAGAATGTGAAAGCCACATTCCCTTCCTCAAACCCTCCTTACTACACACTGCTAAGTCTTATGTCCACTGACCTATTTTCACAGCAAACATGCCACAAAGTTCACTTTCAACAAAACTCCAAAGCATTATATAATTTTGTTTGAAAGAGCTTAACAGCAAGGATTTTACACAAAAAGTGCAAGAGAGCAAACATGTAAAGCAAATAGACCAGAGAGGCTCTAATTATGTGATTATGGCAACAACTCAGGACTGTCCTCTAGTGACTCAGCCACTGAAGTGAATATACATACAAAATCAACTGTCAATAAATATCATACATTCTGCCTGGCATCAAGGTGAGATCTTTTCAACAAAACAATTCTGTTAGAAATTGTCTCATCTTGTCATTTTATTTCTTCCTCAAACAATAAAATTATTTCAAAGCCCAAAATGGTAAAAGGCAAGATTTTTGTGTGCACTATTTGACAGGTGGCAAGTGTATGAATATTTCACAGTATTAACCGCCATGTAGAGTCCTAAGCATTATTTATTCAGCAGAGTAAAATTAATTGTGACAGGTTGCATCTGGTGTCCATTGCTCAAGCCCTCAACAAATACACAGGTAAATGGCTAACCTCCCTTCTGCACAACAGTGGTATACATGATGCATCGCCTCCATTCAATCAGATCCCTGATTCATGTATACACAGGACATCGTAGGTGAAAAACAAAACACAACTCAGCATTTCAATATATCATAAAATATTTCTAATATACAAAATCTATAACTGTGTTTCAGCAAAGTAGTGTCATGCATGCCTATGGAACCAGGGACAATTCAATAACAGCCTTTTCCCCCACTTTTAAATTTTAACTGATAATTGTAATTAAATAAACGTATAATAGTACGTAGCTTTTACTCATTAAGGATAGAAAGAATGAAAAGAGATGAATGACTTAAAATTCACAACAAGAAATGTAATATTCTTCCATGACAAAAGTAAGCTTCCAAAGCCATAAATGCTCTAAATAAGCCAAATCATTTAAGCCTACATAATGTCTTACAAGTATATCCAACAACTGTGTTAACAAACAGAGATAGAGCAATAATTCTGTGACCTAGTCAAAGGGCGGCTACAAGATGCCATGGAGATGTCACGACTACGGGGAAGAGGGTCAATCCTCAACAACAATCCCACACACACACAATATAACCCAGCACAACCCTATAGTGAAAGTAAAATCTACTGCAAATACACCGCAGAAAAGCACAGGATTGGACCAAAATATGCCTTCCAACCGAAACACTGTTTTACTCTCCCACTTCACAAGAATGTTCCCTGGTGTGAAGAAGACGGAGCTGTGTGTGAAAGTTGGACATAAAACCCGGGCTAAATCCTGTGACATCATAAGCATGATTCTTGAATAGTTGGTATGGTGTGGGAGAGCAGTTCATTGATTCTGCTGGGATGGAGAGGTTGTGATTATTGGGAGCCGTAATAACCCAGTGTTGCATATACCCTAGTCATTACGCCCTCTGTCCTGCAGCAGTTCACCAACACAGGGAAACAGCAGAGTTAGCGCACCTTCAAACATAATAATTGTCCTCTCTACAAGCTCAACAAAAGGCCTCACTGAATGGGATAACTTTACGACATCCACACTCAACGCAATGAACACTGTTAGGATTCTTTTGTGAAAGTTTAAGGCTGTTTAATAGACTTGCAAGGTGTACTTATTCTCAAAGTGAATGACAACATCAAACATGAAACATCGGACACTAAAATATCTAGGATCGAAACTTCTATTCCAAAGATGAGGAATGTTGAAATACATGTTGATTCAATCTTTCTTAGGTTTTGAAATTCAAAATGACAATTAATACACTTTGGGGGAAAACTCAAAGTGGTCACTTGTTTAAATGACAAGATCCTGAACATAGAAGGCATCAAATATTCAAAAGTAGTTAAAGGTTAAAAGTAAAAGGTGATTGACAGAAGATTCTGACATTTAACTGAATTTGTGTGTGTGACAAAACATTAATTTCTTGTTTCTCTATTGTTGGAACACTGGAACATAACAACCACTCAAAACTCAGGAAGATAACAAAACATAATTTCCTGAATCTATTAGAGTTGTTACACCTGAAATCAACTAATACATTGGTAGTTTCCTTGTTCAAGTTCTAAATACCAAACAGCAATGTGACCTCCACACCACAAACACTACCAGCAGCAATGTGACCTCCACACCACAAACACTACCAGCAGCAATGTGACCTCCACACCACAAACACTACCAGCAGCAATGTGACCTCCACACCACAAACACTACCAGCAGCAATGTGACCTCCACACCACAAACACTACCAGCCACAAAACACTCACTGCAGCCTTGGATTTCATCTCAAACAGGTTGTCAATTGTAACCCAAATAATTCAAAACACTAATAGTAGCAATGAAACTATACTTGGGGGTCTTTTCGTTTTTCAAAACTAATCAAATTTGATATTTGTTATTCCTTCCACAACACAGCTGCATGAACTACATTAATATCATGCAAAGACGAGATCATGAAATGGGTTTTATGCATCTAGTTTGACACAATGCCAGAAGTACTTATCCAGGTTTTCCAAGAGACAAGTATATTTCTACCACACTATTATGGCTATCAAAGATGATTGTTTTCTGTCGTCTAATGCGGAGTATCCTTAATGAAATTACCACCATAATGACTGGCACACGTGTTAACCTTCAGAATACTGCACATTTTAACAGCATCATTGCAGTATGATTAAGCATGTGATAATAATGCCACAGAAAGGTCACAGTTAATGAAAGTCTTGAGCTCTATGATGTGAAAATACTGCAGGAAATGCATGGTACATTGGCCAAATTCTTGTGCTACTTGGTGGTGAAAGAGGCCTACATAAAGGATATGGCAGCACTAACCATTGTGAGGTTTTCCAGGAAGGCGGATATCGGCAGGATCTGTGTCATCTTGCCCTGATGTGGTACAGTCAAATGGCTCACACACAAAGTAGTAAATTTTACTTTTCCCTTGGCACAGCGACTTAGGATGAGGCGTGTTTGTCTGTTCCCACAACCAGGATATGTGTAAACATGTTCCTTCTCCACACACTCTCACTGTACTAAAGCAGTCAGTCTTACACAATATAAACAAGTCTCAAAATTAACATGCTTCATCATCTTTCAGGGTATTTGCAGCAATATCAATCCATACAGGCGTTTGTGGGCTACAGGTGACTGTGTGACACCTCCAGCCAATCCTCCCTTTGTTTGTAGTCTACATCCATGTACCACACATACAAGGGGATGATGATAACAGAATGTAGGCCTGAGATGACAATATTGAGGGTAGTTCCCACGTGGTCTAGTCAGTGATGAGGAGACTCGGCCTCAGTGTTGTGGTGTCTAAAACAGTGTGGGAAATGAGCACATCACAGTGCTAGGGAACAACTGTTTGCCTCATAACTCTCATATCTGCATGTGAGAATCAGGCTGGTCCATTATGGTATTTGATGGATGCAAATCACAGCAGAGAGGACTTATCTCTCCAGAAATCTGTAAACATGTGCTGTGGCCCCACCATAAAGTGGTGAGAGCTGGGATGGACACTTTATCAGTACAGCCAGTTCTTGTCAACTTGCTAAATGGTCCCTGTCAGAACCATACTCAGATCAATGTGCTGACAAGCTCACAACATTCAAGAAAGCAAAAATGGCAAAAGTCCAGACAAAGATTGCCTAATATCTACCCAACATTTGAAAAGGCTTTTTTCCAAATGTAATCAGTCACAAAGCTTAAACTGATGTTGAACTCAATGCTAGTTCACAGATACAACTGATGACTAAGCACAAATAGCATGTTGTGTACAACACCCAAATAATCACTGGGTAGAGCCTCCTGGGAGGGAAACAGTCTCTTCTATCCTGGATGCAAGCAACTCTCTATAGATGCACATTCAAGAATGGAACTTTCCAACAAAATGGATGTCAAGCCAATGAGTTCAACCAGTTTCCTCCAATAATTCACACATGAAACAAAACTCCTCCAAGACTTCAAGTCAGCAGGGACAACAGGGACTTGTGGTGAAGTTAGTCAAGTTTGTGACAAACTGGGACATGTATGTAGATTCCACTCTGTTATTCCCTGTCTACCAATAACACACAAGACCAGATACACTCTGGGACAAGCTGCTGACATCCTGTTGCCATGGTTACAATATCTATAATCCTGTTTCTATCAAAACTTGAGCTGTTTATCCTGTCAAATGTGTTGGACTGCAAGCAGGTAGGGCTTGAAGTTGAGGATAGGACTTTTTAGCTATCTACAGACATTTACATGAATGTTGTGTTGCTGGCCCCAGCCTTATCACTGGCCCCCTGGTAGAGCTGGTGGAACAGAGGCACTGTTAGGGTGGGGGACAACTACATTCCTCACTCCACTGGAATACTAATACTACCATGCTGTTATCATTCTATGGAAATGACTGCAGATGACACATATTCTCAAAAATTCTACAAATTGCATTAAACAATTATATTCACTCTGAAAACTACACAAACTTAAAAAAGAAAAATGAAGAAAGTTTTATTATGATAACCTTTTAGCGAAGATATTGAGTTTTACACACACTGAAGCATAACTAAGAAATAACTGAGAAATAACTTGAAAAAAAATAAATTAAATTTAATCCTGCCAGATGTAAATATAGAACGATTTCTCACTAAACAGACCTTTTCTTGCTGCAAGTATTATGACAATTATTTTACATGTTACAACTAGAAGTACAAGAAATACCAACTCACAAGGCTAAACCTTGAGAGTAACCAAATTCACTGTCCGACAGACATAAGATATACCTTGGTAGGGCCCCTGTGCTAGCTGGGAGTGAGAGTCATGTGAAATTCTCTTCCATTCCTCCCCCTGTCCCATAAGCTGAGGGAGGAGGGCCTCACAGCAGAGACATCATTCTACAACAGCTGGGCCTCACCTCTGCCAAGCCATAAACATGCCAAAATCTAACCTCATTTTCTCTATAATTAAATACCTAAATAAACCATTTCTTCAATAATTTTCCTTAAAAACTGACAATGTGTAGCAGCAAAGAAAGTTACTAGTTTACAAGTGATTAATATCTTGTATTTCCCTTTTGAATTTGGTCTAAAGGCTGCCTGAAGTCAGTTTCCATCCACCATCAGATGAAATAACTGCTGTTGTTTTTTCCTGTTACAAAAAGTTTTTATGAAACTTTTTAGAAATTAGATCCATTTTGTACCTCCAAAGAAAAATATCCCATATTTCCACAATCATCATTATTCTGTTCTCTTGACTAAGATAAATATTGAGGACTCATTTTGAAATTTATCAATCTTAAGTAACCACTTGTGCCATGAAACAATCCCTGAATACAGTTAAACTGAAGACAAATAGAACAAAAAACACAAAGCCACTCAAAATTGCTTGTCACAATATGTGACGGTATTTTTTAAAAACACATCCAGTGACAAATTTGAGGGAAAAGATAATACTTAAAAAAATATCAATCCTTCATAATTCATGTCAGAATGAGCACAGGTTAAAATCATTAATGAGATCAAGTTTTATAAACAAAATTACTATTTCTAATTCCAGTAATGGTTTTGACAGCCATTTTTATGAACACCCTCTGTTTCTGCATTGAGAACAAAGCCCTTTAATATAATTTTCTGCCTTATTTAAATAATCGATAATGAAATAGGATCACTCATTGTATGACCAAAAATGTTAATCTTACAACAGCAAAGTTAGTACTGATAGATTCATATTTTTTTAACGATTCTTGAGTTTACTATAATTCAAACTATTCTTGTCAACTTAACCCTGGTCGTGGTTTACCTGATTTGTGCTCCACAGTAATCACTAACGTACTCATTGTTTGGTCAGAATACAATGTGGGTATCACATTACACAAGTTAACAGATTCAAGTAAAAATTCAAACATGAATTAAACAAAACTATTTATAACATCCTCAAGTATTGTCAGGTTATAGTCTAATCTGCCAGAATAGTCAAAATCATGGGTCCCATCTTATCATGCATGTTTGAAAAATATTCATCCTTTTCATGTAAGACAACTGTGTCATTGGCACAGAACTGAGGGTTGACATGTGTGTTGCATTGTAAGACCTTTCCAATAAGGTGATTTACCTAGAATCCTGTTATGACAATTCTATACAAGCTTTCACACCTGTGCTTAGTCTAAATAATTACTTGTCAAGTAGATAAAGCCTGTCACAATGACTAATCATTAACTCACACCATGTTCATGCCTTCAAGTTTACAATATAAACAATTCATCACTTTCTTCATAAATATTCAGCTCTTGAAAGATAAATTTCATTTAATCAGCCTTCATTTAAGGCTCCAATATATAAATCCTTTAGTATGAATATTACTCACATTCACACTGGCAAAAAGAAAACCCTTTGATATTTACTGTGTATTTGCACTTCTTCTATGTACTCCGCTGCCTGTGTAATTTCTAAACTACTAAACTAGGAAATGATCAAATGGGCAGCCACCAGTCTTTTGCTAAAACCTGAAATCTATTTTGTCATAAAACACAAGATAAAAATTACACAATATTTCCTAAGAGGACATCTCCTTAAACAACCAGTAATTTGTTAACCTGCTGCACCACATATAATCACTTAGCTGATGTGTGACCAAAGCTCAGCTATACACAAAGGTTGGGGGGGAGAGAAGAGAGGAGACGCAAATCCATCAAAGGTATATACCAGCTATTCTCTTCAACCACGACTGACAAGAAGGAACACTGTCAATATCATTTCAAATTAAGGACAAGGTATTCCTGGGGTGTGAACTGTGTTTTGGTCAACAATAGGTAACCCAGTTCCCACACTAAGGCTTGTGAAGGCCAGGCCAAATGTTGAAAAAGAAAACAGTGAGGACTGGCATCAATTAATGGTTCTCTGCATACAAAAACAGCTTAGCATTCTCTCTTCATGTTTATTGCTGTTGCATAGTCCCCAAACCTAGACCAGATGTCATCTCAATCTTGTCCAAATCTACCAAGCTTGTTCCTCTGCACTAACAAGTCACCACTAATTAAATCCTGCTATCGTTAATTACCATCATTTGCTGACAGATAGTCCTGAGATAATCACAGATCCAAACATACCCTGTTTGACATATATAATGAGCTGGCTGCATGTTATATATGTTATAAGTGTTTCCTCGGACAGCAGTTTATGAAACATTTCAATATTGCGATATCGTTGTGAATCTCTTTTTCCCACATTGGATCTAGCACATCACCAGGAAATAGATATGCAGTACTCAATCTAACAAAGACAGTGCAAATATTGCATGCTGGTACAGTGATTTAATGAATTACAATCCCTCCACAAAAGATATTTTTTAGCAAGATACAAATTTATCCTGGGAGAAATGTCTTGTCTCCAAAACTGGTCAAATCAAGAATTGTAACAAGTGACAATATATTTTAAGTATGGCAGATGGACAATAGGCAAGACCAGAGATATTGCTAACAATTGATGTATTTTCTTACTGTGAGTTTCTAACAACAGAATGTCAAAAATGTCTTATTTATCAATCAATCTTTCAAAATAAATGCCCCACAAAAATGTGATTTTCTCAAATGTCTCATATCAGGTCACATGTTAAAATTCTAGAAACTGTTCTTCAGAGAAAATGAAATGCATTGTAACTACTTTCTACTAAATATTTGATTTTGTGCTATGTAATACCGATGAATATCCGGGCAGTTGATCCCATTATATACCCTACGGGAGGCATAGTACCTATCAACACGGACATTTCAAAGGAAATCATCTATCATTCAGTATTTTCAGAATTCAAACAATCTTTACCAAATAGTAACACAAGAATATACCAGTTACTGGATGGTTCAGAATTTGATCTGATGTTTTGAACTTTCCCTATTCATCCCTTTCCTTTATCCAATAGTTTAACACACACTATTAACTATAAAAAATTTAACGTTATACCAGAGGCAGTTTCTGAAAAACAGCATTTTAATTCTTGTTACCAAAAATCACATCAGAAATGATTTTACACAGCTAACACAAAATGAAAACTCAAAAAGAAATTTACACTAGATATTTATTCTAAAAATAATTAAACTGTTTTTGAATGAATTTGTACTTTAGTATTCAAAAATAAACACCATGAAATGGTATTGCTGCCATTTCACCATATTATTCAAAAATGCATTCTTCTGTCAAATTAATTATTTAGTCGGTGTAACCCTTTAAAAGATTGAAAGATATATTGTGATTATTTTTCCATGTTTAACATTGACACAGGGTGTGAAAACACTCCAGTCCCTCCACATACGTGCTAAGTCACAATAAAGAGGTTCTAACACACAGTAATTCTTTGTGTCTCTTATCTCAAATTCATAGACATGAACCAAGACTAAATCTTATCAATTTTAAACAAACATGTCCAATTTTCAGATCCAATTTCGGTAATTTTTTCAAAGAAAGGAAAAACAGCTTGCAAATACACAAGAAAGGTGATACGCAGCTATAAAAGTGATGTATTTTGACTTTTCTATGAAATACTGCAGCCATGGTTGGACTGAACTTTGTGCATTTCAATAGTGTGTATGCTATCGTTACACTTTGGCTCAATAATGTCACTCCTATGCCCAATTTGGCAGCATTGATGTCAAAACTCAGCCTTTTTTCTTCTAACCTCTCCAGGTATTGGAGGTAGAAAATTTGACAATTATGTGCGCTTTGAGTAGCCAGTAATCAGAGGAAAAATCTCTGTCCTTTTCATACGTTTGTTCCCGTGTTTCGCTCTACTTCCCGCCTATAGAACTGGCTGTATTATAACTGAATAAAACTGTTTCCCACTCCAAGAAAACAAGTCAAGTGTAATTTATAAGGGCGCTCATCATGGCCACTATTCACAGTTCCACAAAAGCAGGCAAACCCAGGCATTTTTAGCTGGTTGTGTTGGAATGTTAGTGTGAAGAATCTCTACGCTGATACAAACTGGCTTTGTCTGCTGGACAATACGGACACTCACAAACAAACATATATCACTGGTTATTAAGTCACACCAACTACACTAACTTTGTGCCTTTGTGTTTCTCAAGGAGGAGAAACCAGGATTGTTCAGAAAATATTTTTCTTTTCAAGATCTTTTTGTCAATATGTCACATAAAAAACAAAGGTAAATATATTGTGGTGAAT